TAAATTCTGTATCAGTAATGATCATAGTTAATCTTAAGAGTTTTCAATCAAAATGACAGGTACTCCATATATCCAGTTATTTGCCTACTGGTCTTTAAGCAGGATTTACCTTCCAGAAGCAAGCCGCTAAGACTTCCTACATATTCCACCACATATAAACGCAAGAGACAAGTGTGGGATAAATGCTAGAATTGCTGCTAAATATAAAATGGCCTCGCTCTAAAGAGGAAAAGAAGTCTTTTTTTCTCCATCAAGTAGAACTATTTTAAATGAGTCTTTAAAAGAGGCAGTCTAGTACAGTGATCTAAGGTCATGAACCTAAGATCCAAACTACTTATGGTCAAATTCCAGCTGCGGTATGAAGTTCTCTGAGTTTAGGCTTTTCTGTTTTGTCAAATGTGAACAGCAGCAGCAGTTCTTTCAATTTTAGCAATGAACAGTTAAGTCAACATATAGCACCTGGGCATTTCACGTTTTGAAATGTAAAACGGTAGGTTACGTTTTCACGAGCTGATATTTTCTTATACAAGCAAGAATAATAACTGTCACAAAACCACTTTGTAAAAATACCATGTTTTAAACATATTAATGGAGAGACTGCATAATTTGGAGGGAACAAAAAGTCTGTCATGAAATCAATCAGTGAATACCTCTAGATCTTAGTCAAAAAGAACTTATTAACCCTTGACTCACTAGCAAGCTCATAAGGAAGGGTTAAACTAAGTGAACTTGCTTCTCTACTACCTTAGCATCTAAAGTAAGAATATGCTTTAATGTGACTACTTTCTATTTAATTTTTACTAATATGCCACTATTTCAAAGGTCTTGCTTTCTATTTTCATTTCCTGTAAGTGATACAATATATACCCTACTTGGAGGCAAACACCATGCTTGTTTTGTGAGTATAGACTTTGGAATTTATGTCAATGGTGTCCTTTGGTAACTGAGCACATTTCTTTTAGTGACTGTCAGGTTATCTTGTTGGAGTCAAAGTTCCATAAGCCTAAACAATAAAAGAAAGCCTCAAAGGTTCCTAGGTGAGACGGCAGGGAGGGAGGGGGCAAGGGAATAAGGGAAGCTCTAAACATGGAAACCAATGTCTCCTGTCCAAACCTAACTGATCAGATGCTTTGAAAATGTATTGAAACAAAAATATGAGCATGCTAAATAAGTACAAAGTAAGGTTACTCTCCAAAGTTATCTTAAACCTACTAGATTTACTAGGAATTATATAAAGACCAACCAACACAGCTAATGTGGTTAACTACACATTACTAATAAATACAACACAAAAATACTGAAAATGATTGGCAGATAGTTTAGAAAAACTTTTCACTTCTATTCATAATGGGTTCATGTGAGAAAAATCTCAAAAAGGAAAATTTTACAACCCATAACTTTCCTTGTACTTCATTCCACTACCATTCCTTAGGTTCCTAAAGAGCCACAGGTGATTAATCAAGAAAATTAAGCCCTTGTCTTTTGTTTTACCAGGAAATCAGCCACCACGGGTAAAGTTGTCTTTAATCCATCCTAAACTAAACTTTAGTTTTCCCACGGGTAAAGTTGTCTTTAATTCATCCTAAACTAAACTTTAGTTTTCCAACTCTTTTCTGTAATTCCTAAATTCTAATTCAACTTTGTTTATGGCTTTCAGAATGTCTGGTCAGAACTGAAACAGAGATTAACAAATATTATGAGATGTTTGTTTTATTCCTTATGAAGCAAACTTCCTTTGCTTCACTTTTTATAGGTATAATTCTTGAATCAATGTTAATGAACTTATTACAGATCTAGTACCAATTATAAAGAATTTTTTCTCTTCCTCTCAGACTTGTGTACTCCATGCGGTAAAAAAAATCATTCACTTTACAAATAAACATAAACCAAAATTCAAGCAGAATCAAATGGTTTTATTTGCCTAGGTATTTGAGTTAGTTACTATTATAAGAAACTCCCATTTTCAGCCGGGTGATGGTGGCGCACGCCTTTAATCCCAGCACTCGGGAGGCAGAGGCAGAGGCAGAGGCAGAGGCAGAACTCATCTTTGTGAGTTCGCGACCAGCCTGGTCTACAGAGCTAGTTCCAGACAGGATCCAAAGCCACAGAGAAACCCTGTCTCGAAAAAAAAAAAAAAACCCTCCCATTTTCAAAGTGCCCAAGAGCTAACTGGTGAAGTTTAACACAACTGATCACAATGTCAAGAATCTGTACTAAATTCAAGATTATGAATTATCTCTTTTTTTCTTTCTTTTCTTTTTCAGAGACGCTCATACGCACACGCCAAAACAATGTCCTATTTGCCTATGGCCAGCTATAAAATGACAGGATTTGCCTAAATAATCCATAAAAGGTAATCACCAATCTGAAGGGTTGTTTTTTAAGTATTTAAAAGAAAACTATTACATTTCAAACAAGTTCAACAACTAATTATCAATAAATGTTCCTACCAACTTAAAATTCATAAGTTTATTATCAAATTATACTTTCTAAATTACTCTCCCTGGGGGCTGGAGAAATGGCTCAGTGGTTAAGAGCACTGCCTGCTCTTCCAAAGGTCCTGAGTTCAATTCCCAGCAACCACATGGTGGCTCACAACCATCCGCAAGGAGATCTGGTGCCCTCTTCTGGCCTGCAGGCACACATTCAAACAGGATACTGACAATACTGTATACATAATAAATAAATAAATCTTTAAAATAAATTAATAAATAAATTACTCTTCCTAAGATTCTGAACCTATTCCATTTTCTTGGGGAGGGGGAGCGGTTCACCTCCGGATTTACACATGAACTGATTTGATGAACCATCAGAATGGTTTCTGCAAATTCCTAATATGTTGTGCCTGCCTTTACTCTCTTCATTTACAACAATAGTTCTCAAACTGGGGGTCGTGACCCCCAGGGCAGACTGACCCTTTTAAAGAGGTCAGTCATCTAAGACCATAGGAAAACATATTTACATTTAATTCATAACAGAAGTAAAATTAGTTATGAAGTAGCAGCAAAAATAATTGCATGGCTGGGTGTCACCACAACATGAGGAACTATATTCAGGGTCAACGCATTAAGAAGTTTGAGAACTACTGATTTACACAAAAGAGAAAATTAACAGGAAGGTAAAACTTCCACATTCAGCTGCTGTCCAAAAACTGGCCTTCAGTTTCCTTTTCAAAATGAAAGCAAAGCACTATAATAGCTCAATATGAACTTAACTTCTATGTTTTAACACAGCTTACAGTAAAAATACTTGCTTAAAAGGTACCCAATTTTATAAAATTAATGTACACAGTACACTTATTTCTTAAACCATACTGCAACATCAACACCAATTATATGGGGTATTACTCAGCACACAAAAACATTAACGAGAAAAATACCCACACTTTAAACATAATTTTATTTTATGGATAGTCACATATGTATTTGTATGGAGCAATAAACGAGTAAATCTGTTTTCTAGAAAATGTTCTTCAATATACACGAGAACAAGCTTGAATTTATCTTTAAGACTCCACAGCCCAAGTAAAACACTGATGTTTCTGGGAATACCCAATTCCTACTCAATAATAAACATGATAGAAACACTAGAATATAAGCAATAATGGTTTAACCCACTGAAAGATCATACCGTTTGCTGTAATGCAACAAGTGTTTTAAATCATTAAGGGTCTTAATTATTAGAAACTCTATGCAGCCTTACAAACTTCGATCAATATGTAAATTCGGGTCACCTACTAGTTTACTTGGAAATGCTTCCATTCCCACAGCACTTGTTAGGAATGACTGGCAGAAACGAAAAGATTACTAAACCGTAGGATTTCGTATCAGATATTTCAGAATATTTAACTCAAGCAATAGAGAACGAATACAATAAAATTGTTCTTGCCCATTTAACAGATGGGTACAGAGGGGCAATGGCTTAAACGAATTTGACTCAAAGTTACCCTGCGAAGTAAAAGGTGGAACTGTGAAGTCAGTCAGGTCTAAGACTCCTTCCACTAAGCCACACTGGAGTGCCCGAACACACACTTGGGGAAGCTATAAACCACTGGGATGGCGACAGAAGGAAGGGAAAGTAACTTTTCAAAAATAACAAACAGGCACACTACTGCCCTTCCCCCTAAAACAGTACTTTCCCTTCATATGACATATCCAAGTATTTAAATAATTCTGTAAGCCAAGTGCTTTGGCTGACAAGTATTAACACTTCCACAAGCTTCCTCTACTGTGTAAGCACAGGACGTCTTTCGGTATTTTACAAGTTTGAATATAGCAAGCTTCTTAAGCTTCAAGAGGACTTATCTACTTTTTGCAGGCCTGCGCTATCCCTCAACCCCGGGCGAAGGGCTGCACTTCTCAACCGAACCGCGGCCGGAGCTTCTATCAAACCAGGGGCAAAGCACAGGACCACGTGGTGTCTCTCAGAAACCCAAGGTCCCTACATCGCTCCCTCCTTTTGACAAGGAAGTGGAAATCAGGGGTTTCCTTTCCCAGTGGCCCTCTGACACGGACCACCTGTGTGGTACCCGCCGCAAACATCCTGAAAGCCCGAGTCCCGGAAGACAAGGATCAGAATAATGGGGAACTTGGGGTGCCGACGATGCCGGCAAAGGGACGACTGGAGAAGCGCGGCCGGAGAGGTGGAGCAGCGGGACCGAGATCTGTCAAAAAAAAAACTGGCGGACTCACGCCGGACCGACTGCACCCATCTCTGGGAAGGAAGGCCCGAGGTGGGAGCGGCTCTGCCGGAGGGAGGAGGACCGGGAGGCGCACGAGCCTCAGTCGCCGCTTCCGCACAGCTCCGGGCGCGCACCGCCCACCGCGAGCCCCGGCCCTCCTCGCTGCTCCAACCTTTGCCCCCAAAAATCTGCTGCCCGGGCGGCCGCCGCCGGACCTGTCCGCACCTGTCACCCAGCCGGGAGACACCAGCCCCGCGGCTCCCGCCCAGCTCTCCGCCAGCCTCGGGCCACCGCGGCCACCGCGACCCCGTTCCCTTACCAGGTGTCCCCTTTCCGGAGCGAGGTTTTGAGCAGCGTCGCGATGTCAGATCGCTGGGTGTCTAGGTCCGCCGCTCCGCCTTCCGCCATCTTCTTCCACTAGCGGTAGCGGAGGCGGCAGCGACGGCGGCGGCACGCCCCGGAGCATTGTGGGAATGGCGTCCGCGGCCCCGCCCCGCCGGCAGGTCCGTACCAAATGGGACGCGAGGGCGGGGGGGCGGGGGGCGTGGCCCGGCGCCCAGGCGCGGGGAGCGCGGGCTGGGCGCGCCTGCGCGCTGCTCTCCGCTTCGGTTTCCCTGGCGCGCCCCGCATCTCCTGGTGTGGCCGCAGCGGTGGTTGCCGCCGCCCCGGAGCTCTGCATTTGCACGGTTCTCGCCGGGCACCGCGCTTTCTCTCCCTGGCCGAGCCATGGCCAGGCCCTCGTAATCCGGCTGGCCACTCTCGGGAGGCAGCCCGCCTCCAGACCCATTTTTGCGGGTTCACTGCCGCCGGAGGGCGGGGCCGGCTGAGACAGGGCAGAGAGCGCGCAGTTCCGTGACTTGGGGCTTTTCCTTTCCAGCCGCAGAGCCCAAGCACACCGAATATTGGCACAAAGAACGCTCTGAAACCAAGGTTTGGACGCAGTGCTCTTCCTAGGTTCCTCCCAGTTCTCCCTTTCTTGCAGCCCGTGGGGATCTTGCATACCTTTTAATACCTTCCATAGGCTCTTTGTGACTCCTCCTGTGTGTGGCGCGCGCAAACACACACACCCACACCCCGTAGCTGCAGTGCAAAACATGTCCCACTTTCTAGGTGAAAAGGCAGTGGAAGATGTATTAAATAAGGCCAGGTATTGAAGGGGATTTTTTTTTTAAAAAGTGGGAAAAGCCTCATCAGTTAAATTCGCATTTCCTTCGTATAATTTTCATGGTGTATATTCCTGAAGTTAAGACTAGATAATATAAGCTGCATTTGAAGCCAAAAATTACAAATGAGGAAATTGAATTTCTTAAAAATCACATGCCAAGGTCACATGACAACTGGGAATGCAAGGTTATTGCCCAGGTTCCAAACACCTCTATGAAAGACTGAATTAAGATATAAACTCCGTAAAGGCTTAAATATTTTTTAACAATTTTTTTGTGTGTATGTATGTGGGTTTTAAATTCTGTATTTGGGTGTATTACCATTCTCCAAATATAAAGACACAAACGTTTCAAAATTAATTGTGACAAAACTTCTGTTTCCAAGAATGAAGCTAGCCACCCCAGTATAGCGGTATGTGAGAAGTTAAAAGATAGGCAATGGTCCCTCCACTTTTAATGTCTCCTAGTTGGTGGGAATGCTGTAAAGATGGGCGTGGCTGCATTAGCAGAAAGTTTTGAATCCTTCCAGGAAAAGTAGGGTTGTGCTGTTGACAGAAACTAAAGTCACTTGGAGGAGGGAAACCTTAAGGAATTGCCTCCATCACAACAGCATATGGGCGAGTCAATGGGGCATTTTTATATTTTGGGGGAGGGTTTGATTTTGTTTGTTGGTTCGGTTTTGGTTTTTAGAGACAGGGTTCTCTGTGTAGCTCTGACTGTCCTGGAACTCATGCTGTAGACCAGGCTGGCCTTGAACTCACAGAGATCCAATCTGCTCGCCTCTGCGCCCCTTAAAGCAGGGACATTTTCTTGTTTAATGATGGAAGTGAGAAGCTCCCTGTGGGCAGGTGGGACAGAGTTGTAAAATAAAACAAGCTGAACAAAGCCATCAAAGCAAGCCAGTAAGCAGCATTAATCCGTGGTTTCTGCTCAGTTTCTGTCTTCTAGGTTCTGGCCTTGGGTTCCCAGTTTGACCTCCTCCAGTGTGAGCCACCCACACTTTTCCTTCCCAAGTTGCTTCTGGTCACAAGATTTCATCCCAGCAAGAGAAAGCAAACTAAGCCGAGTGTATATTGATGTTTTGCTTTGTGGGTGCCAGTATTATGACTGCTTGCTTCTGCACGGTTCTTTTTTGCATTACTTCAACCTCATTGAGAGTCTAAAAGTAATTTCCATTTACTGCCATTTCTTAGGTTATTTGACCACTTCTGATAAAACTAAATTTTTCTAACTATGGACATTCTCAAGGACACCCCCAACCACCACCTCCACTCTACGAAATAGAACAAAGTACATTTCCAAAGAGAGGCAACGTGATATGAAAAGAATATACTGTATCCACAAACACACGACTTCACTTTGCAGATTTAAGTTGTATAATATCTATCTTAAAGGATATTTAAAATTTGTATTATATTTATTTTCTGTATATGAGTTGAGTGTGTCCATGCAGCAGCCTGCCATGGAGATCACAGGTCAACTTGCAGGAATCAGTTCTCTCCACTATGTGGTTCCAGAGTTTAGCTCGATTTCTAATAGCTCTTAATAATAAAAACCCAGAGTTAGATATTAAGGAGTGAAAGCCAAAAGATCAGAGAAGCAAAGAAGTCAGCCACTAGTTTTTACCTCTACAAAATCCTCAGGCTGAATGGGGTATCCTATCTCTACAAATTCTCAGGCTGAATCCCATGAGGGCCTGTCTCCTTCGACCTTATATTCCTCACTGTGCCCTGTCTCCATCTCCCTGGGGCTGGGGATAAAGGCATGGGACTCCTGAGTACTGGGATAAAGGTATGAGGCACCACCACCTGGCTCTGTTTCTCTTTGAGACTGGGTCAATCTAGTGTAGCCCAGAGTGGCCTTGAACTCCCAGAGATCTGTCTGCCTCCTTCTCCCTAGTACTTACTGGATTAAAGGTGTGTGCCACCACTGCCTGTCCTCTATGGCTAACTAGTGGCTAGATCCACACTCTGATCATCAGGCAATCTGTATTCGCTAAAGCACAAACAAAATATCACCACACCAGGGGATCAAACTCGGGTAATCATGATTATACCTGCTAAGCCAAATTGCCAGCCTAGAGTTTCTGAAACAAAGGGGATATCATGTATTTCAGGTTAGCCGTGTACCGGAGGATGACTGACCTCCAGCTTCCATCTCCCCAGTGCTGGGATGTTTATCTGTGCTGAGGTCCAAGCCCAGGACTTCATGCTTGCCATATAAGCACTCTACCAGCTGAGTTCCACCTCTGGCCCCTGTTAAGGATTTTTTTTTTAAGTGAAGGTTAAATGAAACAATGTGTGTTTGTTGCTTGGAAGTTAATAGCAAATCAATAAATGTTAGTGGAAAGAATTGTACTGATGGCAGGATGAACTGTATAGCTTGTGTATCATATCTCAATAAAGTGTTCGGGACTTTAAGGACAGAGCTGTGTGTCTGCTATTTTATAAGCATATTAGAAACAATACGTAATGCATTATTTACACCCTTTCTTCTAGTTTCCCTTCAAACAGAACTGTTGAGACCTATAGTCATGCAGAAAAAAAAAAAACAAAAATCAAACAAAATCTCCAACAACCTTCACCTACACTGTGCCCAAGGGAGTGGGCCCTTGATAAAGATGCGCCCATTCACACTATACACCAGGCTTAGGAGATCATCTCAGAGACCTAACAAGTTGGCACCAGTCAATAAAGCGGTTATAATGTTTATTTAATAAACACGCGTATTCCTCTGAGATGGGGTGTCTCTTTGAATCTAGGGTTTGCCTTATTTCAACTGGATTAGCAGCCAGCAAGTGCCAGAGATCAGTTTCTAGGAATTAAAATGGCTTCTATTAACATCCTTCCTGTATAGTAGATAAAGGAACAACTGCATTGTGTTAAGTCACAGAAATTTTTACTATAAATGAGGGATTGCCACTGTTTATATAGAATTATTGTCTTCACTGTTGCTTCTTTGAGTTGACTTCCTCCAATTGTAATCTTTGGTTGGTGATTGATATTTTTTATTTCTTTAGTGTGCATTGCTAGTGTGTGTGTGTGTGTGTGTGTGTGTGTGTGTGTAAACAGAAAGAAGAGGGTGTCAGTGTCTTCTATCACTCCCCACCCATTTGTTTGAGGCAGGGTCTCTCCCTGAATTTGAAACTCGAATGTACTTGGGTAGACTGGAGTCACAGTAATCCTGTTTTGCCCCTCTTGGAGCAGGCATGCTGGCATTACAGGTGTGTGCCTGTTGATTGCACTCTGGCCCTCATCATTGAACAGCAAGAACACCATCTTGTTCCTTTCTTAGACTTGTTGTACTGTTCTTGATCATTAAGAAACCTACAGGTACGAGTAGGGAAAGGGCACTTTAGAAATAAGACTTAGTATAAGTGAAGCAGATCGTACGTAAAATGTGCCGGTTTTGAAATTGGAGCTATTCTAGGGAGGACTTTTTGACCTATTAAATCTAATCAGAGAGTGCTTCCTTACTCCCATAATTAGCATGCTACTGTTGCACCAATGGGTATATCTTGTCAGATAAGTAACTATTGTGGCTCCTGGGGTCTCTAGCTGGATAGGAACAGTGATGACTACCCCTACCCCCCAGTTGCCTGTATTGCTTTCCCCAGCACTGTGATAGCTAGCCTGCAGGCACTGAGAAACTCCCAGCCCTGATCGGTATCACTTCTCAGTATCCTGCAACCCAAGTATGTGTTGTTTTGAAGCAACAGAACTTTGCAAACCAAGGGCCCTAGCATTAGCCTATAATGGTGGCCTCTGGGGTTACCTGACCAAGACTTATAAGGAGGTATCCTATACATGGTCCTGGAATTTTTATTTCATAATCGTTGGCTTCTAGTAGAAGTGTTATCCACTCATTTGGGTTTTTGTACCCCTGTGAAATTGTCAGAGTTTAAAAAGGAAAAAAAAATCCAAACCTATGGTGTCTGGTGAGTTATTTTCAGTCTGGGGTGAACACAGAGAGAATATAAATGCTGTGTTTATTAATAAGATTGAATGGAAGCAGGAGCCAGCTCTAAGATTACTTTTGGCAACTTTATGGTTCTGTAGCATTGGCGGGATGAACCTCAGGGAGAATCCACCTAATGTCCCAGGTGTCCCTTCTCTGTTCCTCTATGAGTTGTCCCCTCTTGTAACCCCATCACCCACCCATTCTTATTCATCTTTCAGGTTCTTTTTCCTGTTATGTAATATTGTTATTTCCCCTCTCCCCATCAGCTCCCTGAACAGCTCGAAGGCAGCGAGAAGGCGGAGGAGTAGCCCAAACACCAAAATAGCACGTAGTAAAACGCTGAATCTCTTAATGGTGTTTTGAAACTTGGAGCGTGGAGAAAAGTTTTAAGCCCCGTGATGCAGCTTTTAAAGCTTAAGAAACACACCAGCGCCCCAGACAAATGTTAGCTTCTGATAAAAAGAATGAAAACGTAGTGAAATGAATACAGTACGTCTTCCAGGAAGCCAGACTACTTGGATTTTGAGTCTGGCTTGGTGCCACTAACTAACAAAATACTTTTGCCAAGTTGTTTAATCTCCGTGAGCAATCGCCTTCTCGTAGTATCATAAGGTGATTAAACAGTATTGGCTAAAACACAAGTGTTTGCAGCGCTCCGATATGCCTAAAGTAAAAGGGCGAAGCAAATCTGCATTGGGATAATATGGAATTTGGGGGGCTCCACTGAGCTCTGTACACCCCAGCTAAAGGCATTAAAATGAAAGGAACCAGAGCAAATGAAATTTTATCTCCTGCTCTCTAGGATCAGGAGAGTTTAACTTGGACATGAGCATGAGGGCTGTGGATTAATGTAGGCTGCTATTTGTACCCTTCTCCTCAGAAGCACACACAGACAGGATGCTTTGAAAGGTTGTACTGTACCAGAAGCATGGAATAGACTCCCCTGTACATCTCGCTATATAATGAGAAAATTAGCCTGATTTCAATCGACAAGTTAGACATAGTCTAATAGGTCTAGAATCCATCACAAAAGACCTTTGATAAAGAGTAAGTATAGTCTCTGGGTTCTTGATCTTTCTTCAGTGAAGTATTTGTGTATGGCAGGAAACATTTCCCAAAGAGAAATAACTTACACTACCCAACCAAGAGTGATATAAACCAAACCAAAGCTAGTATTAAGGAAAAATAATTTTTATGTTTTTTAAAATGCATTTATTTTCATTTATGTGTGAGTGTTTGGTCTGCATGTATGTATGTTTGTTCTCTATATGCACGCCTGTGCCTGGGAGGGTCAAAAGAGAATGTTGTATCCTTCGGAACTGGAACAACAAATGGATGTGTGAGTTACCATATGAGTGCCTGACTGGACTTGGGCCCTCTGTAAGTGCAACAAAGGCTCTTAACCACTGCACCTTCGTTCCAAACCCTGTTTTATATATGTTTTATTTGTTATTTATCTTTATGGACAGACTTGAAGGTTGTTACAGAACCATGGAATAAAAAAAAAAAAAACCAAACTAGAAATGTTTAAGTAGCAGCCTCTGGGTCCTTTCTCCCTTCCCGAGCCTCCCAGCAGACAGGGCGCAGAGAGCTAAGTGATTTAGAAGATGCAGGTCTTGAACAAAACAATGATCTTGGCATTATGTATTTCATCATTTGTACTTTTTCTCGTGTCACTCAAAGGTCTGAAACCATTTTTATGCTGGTGAAACTGCGAAACCTGTGCAACCAAAGTGAAGTAGAGAAAGTCGTGACGCCCAGGTTTTGTCCAGAGAGATTAACATTGGCTCTTCCCAGGAGAGAAGTGAATTATTCAGGTTTTCTCTTTGGACTGTGCTCCTCTTCATTTGGCCGGAGGAGCAAAAAAGATCTAAACTGCTTACAAAGAGCTTTAGAAGACTCTAACAGTAATTATTAAAGCCTATCTGTGCTCCAGTCCTGGTGGAACAGTGACAAGGCACTCTTCAGAATGCTGCCTTCCTGTCGTGGCTCCACAGCAAAACACTACTGACTATGTAGTAGGCTTGGGGAAAGTCAGAAAACACTGATGGAGAAAGGCATGCTTGATGATATCATAAAAATACTCCTCATCACTTTGTTTTGGTAGCCAGTATGCTGCTGTTTAGGCCCTTTTGGATTATGTTAATTATGTTTTATAATTTTGTAATGGTCCAAGACTGCTACATAAATACCGGACAGCATTTCTACAACAGAAGGGATTCATGGGAAGGGCAAGACATCATTGTATGCTTCTATAGGTAATCCAACTTCCTTAATCATGCAAGAGGGGAACATGTGTAAGTACGAGTTCTGTAATACTGGAAGATTTAGTTTAACTGCTTTTGAAATAAAGATAATTTCATGTTTCTTCAAACCGTGAATTCAATAAATGTGAAGCTATTTGAAGTGTCAATATACACTGTTTTGGACTGCTACTAAATGTGAATGTTAAATTCATATTCATTAAGATGACAAAACTGTTACGTAACAGCAAGCAGTTTAGTTAAAACTGGGTTACCGATCAAAGGTACCCAGCTCCTGAAGGGTTAAGAAGGGTAGTAAGTCTGACTTTACTCATAGTGTTTTCCATGAAGACTTCTTTTTGTTTGCCTTTGTTTTTGTTTTTTTTTTTGGAGAAAGATTCTAGCTATAAAGTTAGCGTGGCTGGAATGCACCAGATAGCCAAGACCCTATGATCCCTGTGCCTCCACTTCTTGAGAGCTGGGATTGTAAACCTGTGTTACAACACCAGCTCTGAACGAAAAATGCTTAGGGATGAAACAGTGTACTTAGAAGCTGTACTAGAATAAATGATAAAGCATGCTTTATACGTTTATGAATAATCTTGAAGCCATAAGAATGACAGCTGAAAGTTATGATTTGGAGTTGTTTTGCCTATGAATTTATGACGGGGAGGACAGAACACTGACTCTCCATGTTCTAATCTCAGAAGCAGTGATTATTCTGTCTTCATGGCTAAAGGGACTTTGTAGGTGTGGTTAGGGTTAAAGACCTTGAATTGCAGTTATCCTGCATTATCTAACCATCTAAGCGAGTCCAGGCTAATCACAGGGTGAGAGGACCATGGGGAAATTGCCTAGAAGAAGGGATACAGAGCTACGGGTGAGTTATGTGGGTGCCTTTGAGAAGCTGGAAAGGGCAATGAAATATGAATTCCCTTCTGAAGCCACCAGCGAGGGACGCAGCTTCACCGTGATTTTAGCTTCACAGGAGTCATGTCAGAAGCCTAACCCATGTGACAAACACTTTGCTGGCTCTGGTCACAGGTGCCTGGTAATTTATCATGGCAGCAGTAGAAAACTAAGACAAACAGTAGGACAGACTACGGAACGGGTCAAAACAAAGTCTATTCAGGCTGGAGATTAGTCATTGTACCCCCTTCCATGGTACAG